CTACCAGGATCAGGAAACAGTCCTCATAAAATGTGCTGCACACATCTGAATATTTGGGTTGAACTGTTCTGGAACAGTGTTGTAAATACTACTTAACCACTGATTTCTAGTTGTGTCCTCTTTTGGAAGGCCAAACAAAGTAGTTTTGCTTTCATAACGAAACACACAGCGTCTGTTCTTCCCACAAATCTTCCCACATCGTGACGTAGACATGTGGGGGCGTGTTAGAACGAGTCGCTTTAGGTAGGCGTGGTTGACTCTTAACTTTTATAAAGAATATCTCTTTGGATTTGAGACTTTAGTCTTTGCAACTTTACAGATCTTCTTTATGCACCAAGAGCTTGTAACACTCCAAAGAGAAAGGAAAAATTGAAATCACATCATATGACCCCTTTAAAAGAGCTTTGGGATTTCTAAATGGAATGGTTCCAAATAATAACTGCACAAGAAATAAGAGCAAAACTCTGTAGATCACAGACTGGTTGGCATCCTGAGGCTTACTTAAGTTTCTCCAGGGACCAATAGTGAGTGGCTCCGTTCTTCAAGTCCTGAACCTCCACAGCCACCACTGTTCGAGGGAAAGCCCTAGTGTCACGCTCTTTCTCTGGTTCTGGGGGCAGCAGCTCCGGGGGCAGCGGAGAGTATAGGGTGTCCGTGAGTAAGACAAACTGGAACTGGACCTACAAATAGATCATGTAAATGAGACATAAGGGCATAAACAAGGATAAATGATGTGAGTTGATGACTGAAAGATTGTAGGTTCAGACATTTTTGGATACTGAAGTAATGTAACAAAGCTGAATACAGCATAAGATTTCCACACGCTGATGAAAAACGAATTAAAAATCGCCTCTGGCCCCACTGAAGCTATAAATACAATGTAAGAGTGCATTATAAATCATAAGAATTTATCTCAAGGCTGAACAGCAGGGGTTTTCATGAGGTTATACACATATGAACTGAAAAAAAAAGAGGCATAAATAAGTAAAAGTGAAGCAAGTGACAGAAAAAGAACTGATGAAACAGTTTATGTGCGTTTTTTTGACATTAATGAGACAACCTTTGAAAGCTGACACATGGGTAATGAGTAAAGCAATAGGGATCTGTCTGAGAATGTGTTAATACAGCAGAACTTACTGGTAAACTGGCATCACAATGAAAACTCAGTCATACACTGTTTTACATCATGTTGTGGAAGTAAAAAACTGACCACACACTAGATTTTCCTTTTTTCAGGGTTTCACACTGGGTGAAGTTCAAAACAGTTCAATGTTTTGATGACTGACAAATGTTGTCTGCACCTTTTTCTTGAGCTCCACACTGATGGCATTGGCTTCTTTGAGGTACACAGCATTGCCCCACAGCTGGTCTCTGAGGGAGGTGAACTGGTGATATCTCCACTTCCTGAAAGCCCACTGGGCCAACTCATACTCATGCTGGGTCCAGGGCACTGTAACAGTACAGGCACAACATTCAAACATGGCAAGGCAGTGATATACTGTAGCTGGTTGTTGTGATTTTGCCAAGCAGGATGTCCTTATTGTTCCTAGAACAACATTCAATCAGTCAGACTATAGTGAAAGGGACAGGGGTTTATCAGCCTATTATCTATGTTCCTCTGATTGTTGGGTGGTTTTGGTTGAGTTGAGGTTATGGATAGAGTTAGGACAGGAATGCGATTCAAACAATGTTGATTTAGGAACATGTCCTACTTATGCAATGTCCCAGTACAATGCACATAAACCTCTTTTGCAAAAAAAACACCTGATTCTGATTCTGACTTATTTTGATTTTAGCATTTAAAATATATTACCTTCATCCTCTTCCTCTTCATCTTCCTCTTCATCTGGGGTCTCTGCAGTCAGTGAGCGAGTCTCCACCTGTTTCTGCAGCTCTTGCAGTTTACTCTCATATACCTTGAGAAGGTTTGATGAAGAGAGACACGACATGATCGAATCAGCATGACAAACACTCACTGAGCCTTAGAGATGAAGCTTCAAGAGGATGGTTACACTGTAGCTTTATCAATTGTGTGCTAGTTCATGACAATGGAATGATAATTATACTTCTTAAATTACTTTTTAATGACTTTGACTGAAGTTAAACTAAACAGCACTAATTTTGCACACAGAAATAGACAATGGAGACAATGTTGCTATGCAGCTTCTAGGGCTGCTAGGGCATTATGAGGTGGCTCAAATAGAAAAAGCTCACCTCCAAGTCTCTTCTCCCTTGATATGTTGCAAATCCATCTATACGATTGCATAGCACAAAAGGTGCAGGATGTGTTGCATGCTGACGTTTAATACATTAGATTTTAACAATCCCATAACTTAATTATATGCGATTGTAATATAGAAAATTTAAAGTACTTTTAATTTTGATGTTCTGCCATGGGGAGAACACATTTCTGATAACATCCAAGACATGAAACCCATCCTGCATCCCTCCAGCAATTTTGAAAATTAAACAAATCAATGTATGTTCTTCACTGCCTCATCTACTGAAGCTGATGAAAAAAACTTCTATGGTGCCAAAATGTCTAGACATTTCACTACCGAAATGCAACTGACATTTATAATACATTTAAATAGTAATAAAAATGTTTTAGGTAGAACAGACTGTGCATTATATAAGAGATGTATTTTGCATGCTGTTTCACTAAAATGTGGTTATATGTAACATTTTCCTGACATTTAAACAGATTTTACTAGTCCCACATTGTTTTATAACAAATGAGAATATTCTGTCTATAAATCTATACAGCTGTAAATCTACTTGCACTAGATGGATAATATAATCGCTCTGGATTTTAAGTCAAACTCATTTTATACAGTGCCTTGAGAAAGTATGCAATCCTATCTCTGAGCTCTACAGGCAGTTTTTTTTTTTACCTCAGGGCTTGGTCTTTGCTCTAATATGCATTTTCAGCTGTTAGACCTTTTATTAAGTCATGTGTGCATTTCCAAATCATACCCATTCAATTGAATTTGATACAGGTTAGCTTCACTCAAAGTGTGGTACATTTACAAGCAAAATTAATGCTCCTGAGCTATATTTCAACTGACCCAGATAAGGGTATGAATACTTATGCAATGGAATCATTTACGTTTTTTTTTTTTTTTTTATCTTTAATAAATTTTCTAAGATGTTAAAAAACCTGTTATTTGCTTTGTCATTATGGTTTAAGGAGTGTAGATTGATGTGGGGGGAAAATAGTAATTTTAAGCAGTTTAACATAAGGCTGCAACATAACAAAACATGAAAAAAATGAAGGTGTTTGAATACTTTCGCAAGGCAATGTATTTAACTTCAGACTTATTTCACAACACTGACTAATGGCTGACTGCTGTCATACCTCATATTAAGAGCTGTAACATGATAAAATGATGATAAAACTACTAATAAATATTTAAAAATTCTTTAAATGTAATTGCTATTAAGTATGTTTGTATAGATAAAGACATTTGGCTGAGAGTGTCAACAAGTCAATACATTTCAAACTTGTCCACTTTATTTCAGTCATTGTTTGAAATTGTGATATATTCAGCACAGTTCAATGTAATAGCAATATTAGTAAACCATCAACACATTTTTGAGAATTAAAGATAATATGTTGCACAAAAAACGCCCCCCCCTAAACAACACATTATAATACAGGGCCTTTTGGAGGCACTTGATATCACCATTGCATATAGATAAACACTGAACAGACAAGTGATATACCTTTAAAAATGGTAAAACTACATTGTCTTTATATATTTCCTTAGCTCCTCTTGTGGTAGTTAAGAGTAGCTGGCAGCACCGTGCATTAACATTAGCATAACTTTCTTTACTGGAGCAGGGAAACGGCATGTCTAGATAGCAGTTTAAAATAAAGATAATCAAGGAGCGACTTAAACTTTAATTTCTGTGCAGCACTGAAAGGTGAAATGTGTCATTTTTACTGCATAAAACAGATTTTCAAAAAATAATGACTGTTTTTTAGCACTCTCTCTATCTGTCATTGGACAGAAATACAGACAGCCCCACCCCCAAACTGATATCACTGGTTGAGCCAATGTTGCATTGTCTGGATTTACACTTGTCAAATTAAAAAAAGGAGGGCTCTAGTTTAAAGGTGAAATGTGTAATTGTTATTTATCCAGTTTCTTGATTTTACCTTTTGAAGGGAAAGTAATTCTGTTTTATGCAAGTATGCATTACTATAACAAAACCCAGGGGTTTCATTAGAAATAAGGCAGTATTTCTGGCAACAAAAGCATTCAAGTTCTTCATGCATATGAAGCAATGCTAAAGCCTGGACTTTTGGCCTAGTTGGCTAACGCTTGGCTCTGGCCAGAGGAGATGACGTGAAGAGGATTTCAGAACATGTGCTTTGGTAATACGCAGCTAGTAATGGGTCACACTTGGGTGCTGAGGCACAACAGTGCATAATTACATCAAGGCTTAAGCAGGGAAATCATAGTGACTTAAGTGTAAGGATGTACAACTACATTAACCCTACGTGAACATAATTACCGAAACAGTGGTAAATTTAATCTAGTGCTTAGTGGCATTACATATAAAGGCTGTGAATTCACATGTGACTAAACGAGAAAATAAAACAAAACGCAATGCAGCATATACCTGTCCAGCAAATTTGATTAGGCTTTTAAGGGTTTTTCCTTCCCTAAAAACATGCTAAAACTTTCAAAACGAGTCTTGAAAACCATGGAAACAGCCCTGTTAGAGGTCCTTTCCATGAGAAGTCTCTGGTGCTTTCTGTGGGCTCGCTTGCCACACAGCGGACACCCGAAAATAAATGCGATTCTAATCATGTTAAGATTGAGGAAAACAGCAGAGTGTTCTAGAACACTGACTCCATCCCGTGGGAACAGGCTATCCCCCTATTGAGGATCAGAGTGCAACAGACAGTTTAGAGGAACAATAGATGCAAAGCACACTCTGAAGCCGTTCTTTTACTGCGTTTCACAAAAAGCATTGCCTCTTTGGATATGGATGTTTAGTGCAGAGTGGTTTGTACTCAAAATAAGGCAGAACCAAACTTTATAAATACAAAGAGGCAGTTATTTTGATGAAAAAGAAACTGTTCTTACCTCATTTAGAGGTGGTGTCTTTATCTTTCAGATTAAAAGATTGATGCAAAATCATTCTGTTTTCTTTACATATTGCTATTACTTATTTTTAGGCGCCAAGTACAAGATAAATGCAATTTTAATGACACAGTGAGTCAATAAGGCACTTAAAAACTTTAAAAGCACTCCTTCATAATCTTTTACTCATCTACATAAGGCAGCTAGAGAAAGGCCTTTGCTGCCAACTTTCATATTTAAACTATTTAATGGGGAATACCAATGCAAAGATCCAAAACTTCATGAAATAAAACAATTTTCATAAAATGTAACGGTAAAAATGTCATTTGCATCTCTGACGTGTTTAGAAACATTCAAGAGGATAAAACGTTGGCTATTAACCTTCCAGCATTTACTGAACATATCACCCATGCATCTTGAATGCACACATATGACTGAATTGTAAATTCAAAAACTCAAAATTCAAGTAATGGTTCAAGGTTCTCACTGGACAGTATGAAATGTTGCAGTGTAGTGGTTGTGTTCAATTCTTAGATCGATTCAGACCATCAAGACCAGCAGCAAAACAATAGTAAACGAAGGCAAATCAGTGTAAAGTACATCTCAATTCCATAATGGCATACTAAAGTTTAAAAAAAGTTAATACTACAGTCAAGAACTAAAGGGTGTCTCTCTCAAAACTCATAGTTCCCAATACTTTATTGCAAAAACAATGCTTGATTAATTAATCAAAGCTCAAGAACACTCTTCTGAGATCTTGTTGTGGCTTGGACACCTTTAACCATCAGACTTATTGCTAGACTTTTAACCCATATGCCTAACTAACATGGATGGGGGATCAAATTATTGATACAAGGTGCTCATGTGGTATTTTCCATTGCAATTTGAATCTACAAATGACAACAAGAACATTCAATCGTTTAAAACAAGTGCCACATAACAGTTGGACTTGATGGGGACAAGCTGTCCAATGCTGTGATGAGTCTGTGATGTGTGATTTGTAGCATCAACTAGTTCTGTACATGAACCTATGCCCTGCTTCCAATGTCACACTGTGGTTTCTCGACTGCCCTTCAAATTGGGGGCAGACATTTGCCTACGCATACGGGGTGGAGTGTAAACATTGTTGTGGTGGCTCGGCTGCTGATTAGGTGGGTACTGCTGGTAGTTGTTGCTGGCATCAGTATTGTAATGACAGAACTGTGGATGCTGTTGTTGTGGATAATGATGCTGGTTTTGGTTGTAGCGTGGCTGGTAATAGGCCTGTTGTGGGTGAGGGGGCTTCCTGTTCCCAGAATTGAGGGACTCCGTAGAGTCCGAGGCATGCTGGCTGCTGTTGAATGAGTTACTACGGCCTCGTTCATGGAGTTTGTGGCTTTGATTGTGTCTATGATTCAGGCTTTGCTCTAAATCTTTGCTTCTACGTTGACCCATGGGACTAGGAAGAGTAGGGTACGTGTGGATGATGGGCACCACTTGTTCTCTGGGCTCTGCAGCCACCACTTTGCCGTCTTCCTCTTCCTGGACTGCTTCTTTGGGAACTTTCAACTCGATCACCTGTTCATCTGTGATAATGATATGAGTGCCAGGGGTCCAGGAGTTGCGATGTTTGGGGTTACTCCTGAAAGGGAAGCGCAGCTTGCGGTCTTCAGGTGGGATGAAGCGGTGAGGTCCGTTTTGCCTCCGGAGCTGCTTGGAAATCTCCTGTTGCTGAAGGTTCTTGAGGCGTACCTGCTCTTGTCGCATCCAACGTATATGTCCACGTCGGAACGAAGAATCATCATCCATCATTGTAGGCACCTGCTCGTCCGACTGTTCGCCGTTGGGTTTCTCCTCAAGAGCTTTACCCTCACTGGAACTGCGGGCTCTCATGGGTGCACTGCGAGTGTTTTTCTCCTGAGACTCGTTGGAAATGAGTGGAATCACTTGCTCCATCTTCAACATCTTATTACGGAGAGCTCTAATCTCTTCATCCTTCATGTTGTTCTGCTTTTTAACCTCTTGCAGGATGTCTTCCAGTTTGTCAATGTGCACTTTTAGGTCATCCATGTCAGTTACACCTCGCCCGTTTGTTATGACATCTTCGATTCGTTCGTCCCCGACCCCTACAGTATCCCAGACATCTCGAGCCACAGCTCTCCAAGAATCGCGTTCATTCGGGTCTTTCTTGTTGTAGGTGGCACAAAGCTCTTTCATTTTTACTATGGCCAGAGCCTCAATCTCTTGACGGGTGTGACGGAAATCATTCAGAGCCACCTCATAGCAAATTTCTTTGACTGCCTGGATCTTCAGATCAGAAATAGTCACCCATTTGGAGTCCTTTGTAAGGCGACGATGCTGAGGGATCTGGTACATTTTGACAGGCTCTCGTCTTTTACCGCTGCTGGGTAAGCCACACTTTTTGACTATGGTTTGGAGCTTGCTGGGAGGAAGTTTCTCCCGAAGTGAAGTGATGAGTCTCCAGCTCTCCTCGCACGACCTCTTATCAGAGTCGTCGCCACTATCAGAGTCTCCATCCTTGAGAGAACAAAACAGGAAACAAACCAAAGAGTGCGAAAAACAAAATGGGAAAATTAAAATGGGATACCGAAATCAAAAGGAATGTTTTCTGTAAAGAATGGACAGTGTTGTGATATGCAAAATGGGAACAGCTAAATGAGATGATGCTTTGCAATATGAGATTATAATGAAAGCAGAAGCACTGCTACTGGTTTGTTTAACAATGAAAGCCAACATTCAATTTATACATGTACATTTCTAAAGTATTTGTATTATGACTATACACATCAGATACACAGGATTTCCTAATTACATATGTGAAACTTTCTAGAGATTTTTTAAAACCTTGAGAAAACATTGCAATATTTAGAAAAATGTACAAACTGATTAATTAAGCTGAGAAAAAACGTCAACGTACTTGACAATTTTTAACTAACTGCAGGAAAAGCTGAAAGCAAATGTTTGTAGACTGCAAGTCGACTACAGATATGAAAATTTTAGAGAGGATTATGTACTCGCAGATGCATTTGACAATGCTTACTGTTATTTTTTAGATTTACAGTGTGTAGATACAAATTCAATCACCGTTATTCCCAAGTTGCATATCACTATAAAAAGTAAATGCAAGGCATGACTTTCATGATTATGAGAAAAATGTCAACAAAAAGGGGATAGATGTTGCTTGATATGCTGTTTTAGCTGTTGCGCTGGTTTCTTTCTTTTTTGTCAAGTTTAAATTCATGACATCCTCTTCAATTAGAGCTCTTGAAAGTCGCACCCCAAACATGCTTCAGTGGCATGCAGCAAAGCCTGATGAGTTTTGCTTCATTCCCTCATATGAAGTCCTTGATAGAGAAGATTTGGTTTTAGAGTTTTTCTAGCTCTAGCAGTGGGTTAGACTCTTGCGTGTTTATTACAGGTCAGTACAGAGAAGAAAAAGAGAAAAGGACAGGCTCTGAGAAGGTTAAAAGCATCGATTTCATCCACTACAGTTAAGAGGTTAGTTGAGAGAAAATGCAGTTTCTCATTTTCCAGGTCAAGTAAAACAAGGACAATACAAAAATCACAGTCAAATAACAAAGGAGACAGCTGGCGACCAATGTAATCGTGGTTGTGTAATCAGTGCAGTGTACGATATCTGTGTCGTTCTGTGTATGAGATTATATGAATGAGACCATCGGAGCATTGGAGAGCTTGTCATCATTGATTAAGACCCCCAAGCATGGATAGCTGTGTTATAGCATGCCCTCTGTGCCTGGCCAGACACAGATGTGTACAACTCAAGGCTACAGATGTCAATGAGAAACCACATTGTCACTAGCCTTCATCAACTACAGCAGAAATCTTGGGTTATGGCAACAATGCATTGGAAATATCAGCAATTGCATTGAGAAAACCAACAACGCAATAAAAAAACAAAACGAAATCTATTTGGGTAAATCAAATGCTGACTCAAGCTTGACCAGCTTAACAACACTGCTCAGCAAAAAATACTAAATGAGGTACTAAGTACCCTGTAAATTAATCTGTTAAACATGCTACAAAAACAAACCATGCAAAAGCAGCATACAGAATAAACCAAAGAAAAGATCTCCAATTTAATTTAAAGACCCCATGAAAAATGGTAACGGGCAAAAGTTTGATGTCAGCTCCAGGATGTAAAAGATCTCCAGATATGATGATTACTGTAAAAGTATTTTTTTTAATAAATATTTGCAAAGACCCATTTATACTGTGAGAAAAATATTAAAATTAAGTGTCATATGGACAAAATGTTGTTTGTTGTTTTAAAATTAAACAACTGGCTCATATTTGGTAACTACTAAAGTAAAAAAAAAAACTTCTACATAAAATATTATATATTTTTTTACTTTATATAAAATTAAGTTGACGGTGGATCTTTTTTGTCCATTTCCAAAATATTACATAAACACACATAACCCTGAAGAGTGACATTTAATTTAGTTCAATTCAATTCAAATAAATGACAGCTATAAATCATACAATTGTCAAATCTCAACAAAAAAAGCTCCCATTTTCACTTCATGGAGTCTTTAACTGGTACATGACAAACCAATGCCTTACACAACAATGTAATGTTCATAAAAAACACAGATTACTAATTAAAAGCCGAATTGGTATTTTTCTGCTGATGCTGTTTTGCAAAGTTACATCTCAACTCTATGAGAGAAAAGTGAAAATTTGAATAAGAAATTCTCGCTAATTCTTGCTGTATCAAACTGAATATGTAAATCAGTCCATATCAGCAATGGGCCATCTGCTATCTCAATCCAGACAGAGTGGATTCAGTTACCATGCAAAGAGGTTCAGCCATGCACTGGGAGAAGTGTTTCACTCTCACACACATACAGACACACAAAAGTCTCAAGTTGTCAGAGCTAAGAGTGCAGAATTAGTGCTGGTTGGACTTCAGCAGAGCAAGTAGAAAACTACGGGCCCGTTTTACTCCGTTCATCAAATGGCACATCTCTCCCCTCAGTCTAATGGACAATTAAGGTCTAATTGAAACGAAAGAACAGGTCCTCTGATAAACAACAGAAGAAACAAGAATTATCAAAGAGATTCAGCCTTACCAGTCTCTGTTGCTCAAGCAGCTGGTCCGCTTCTTCCTTCTCTTTTTTGTACAGGATCTCCATTTCTGTAAGTCTGATATAATACAGTGCGAGACCACTGCATCAAAAAGCTGCTCTTTCTTACGCTCACTGCATTTCCTTTCCGCAACATAATCCTAAAAATCCTTCTTACAATAATCCAGTTCATATTTGCTCACATTCCATACCAAGAGCTTAAACTTCACAAAATGTAGCTGCTGGGTGGCCCTGGCTTTGGTTGGCTATCCAACCCTATACTATATATTAGCTGGAATTCACACTTGCTTTGAAAGAATTTTGCTAGTTTGAATAGTTAAGTTAAGCTCTATTGACAGCATATAAGGTATTATGTCAATTACCACAGAAAATAATTGAGAAATTATATGTTACAGTAAGGCACTTACAAAGACAAAAAATGTTCAAATTCACAGTTTCCATATACATGTGTTAACCAGAAACTAGTGTGAACGTTTACTATTACTTGCTAAACTGTATTTTCATTGCAAAGTGCCTGAGGGATGAGTAAAAAGGATATACTGAACCTGGAGCTGTCGTTTAATAAAATCTGATGATTATTAGGGCTTTCGTACCTTTTCTCCATCTCTTGCTTCATGTCGATACCCTGTTTCTCCAGCAATTCTCTTTGGGCAAAGGTCCAGTCCACTGGCTCTACGGGGGTCTCTGCTGTCGGGGTCTTCTCACGCTCAGCGCGAGCCTGCTCAGGGTGGTTAAACCGGAACACGTGGTTCTTTCCCATGATAATGCGGTTACCTGAGGAATGAACAGGTATGTACATATTGGAACAATATAACAGCCTATAAACATACATTTTGCACATGTATTATCCAACTTGAATGTGCAAGGTTTCTGGTGTCAGCCACTTTCAGTTCTTTTAGCTGTACCAAGTCCATTATGCTGCTTAATGTTGCAAACTGGCATTTGTTATCACATTAATGCATTATCTGTAATCAGTAATCTGTAGTGCAAACAGTTCTATTGCTTAATGCATTTTGTTATTTACCTACAGAGGCTAATGAGGCACATTCACAGGAAACAGCTTACTTTCGCATTGAAATATAAAGTGAATCGTTCCCAAATTACGTTTCATTTGTTTTGTTTTTTTAATGAATATAATCAACAGGCTTAAACCAGAACTGAAATGTGCAGGCAGCTGTCAGTGAGTCACCTGAGCGCAGTTGGACTGCAGAAGTCACACGTTTTCCATTCACATATGTTTCGGACCCTTCACATGGCTCCAACTTGACAATCACTGTAGAGACAGAAGACAATTCACTACCTCCAGCAGAAAAGCCTAATATAAGATGTTCATTCAGTAAAAGCGTAAAGAACAAAGAACTAATCTTTGACAGAAAAGTTAGTTAATTTGCACTGAACTGATCATGTCTGATTTAAAAGCGTTTAACAGCTGACACGTGAACTGAACACATTTAAATGGATCTTAAGGTGTAAGTGAGCTCTAACCATCTCCGTTGGCATTTCTCTCACTGCGGAAGACACAGTGCTCCTCTTTGATGTGAGCTCCGCTTAGAACTATATCCTGTCTTCTTTCTGCATCTGCCTGGCCCACCCTGTCAAAACAAAGACATTTATTTTAATTAACGCAGGGATACTCTGACATCCACATTACAGAACCGTTACCAGTATGCGTGTTCCCTGGGAATTGAACCCACGACCTTTTGCGCTGCTAACGCAATGCTCTACCGCTGAGCCACAGGAACACTATATATTTTAAATGATAAAGAAGTCTATTATTTTAATTGGCGATGTAGAAAAAATCCTTATATCAAAGCAGTAAAAAAAACATCATGTCCTTTGTAGGACCCTTGACTGGTTGGATATGTAGCAATCATAAGATGCCTCAGTGCAACATACAGACAGCTAAGAAATTTCTGACAGTTCTGAAAGTGATTTCATACCTTGTTATTCCATCTTTGATGTAATAAAGCAGACATTCTGACATCAAAGGATCCTCGTTCAGGTTCACTAGGTGAGGGGTCTGTAGGGAAGCAGGGTCAATGATAATGTTAGACACAAAAGTGACTAATGTCACTAAAACTACAGTTACATTAACGGGCTAATTAAAAAGTGAAATAACGAGGTTAAATGCCATTTCAATGATTTATAATGACTCACAGAAAGCCATTAAATGTGGCTTCTTCAAAAGCTGATAATGCACTACATTAATCTCTATCAAGTAAATAACTACAAACTACTGTACGTCATAATCTACTACTATACCAACCTTTTTGGGTGAAAATACCCCATTAAAGTCAGTATAGACTTCACAGGGCCTTTCAACGTAAAGCTATTTGACAGTCAAAATGACAAGGAGATGTCAGAGAAAAAGAGGAGAGTAACTGAATGAAAGCATGAATAAGTAGGCAAATAAAAACAATTAAATAACAGGGAGGAGAGGCCTTGTTTTAGATTCAGGCTAACTCTGTTGATGTGTTTTAGGGTGGAATACTAAAAAGACAACGCAATTATGGTAAATGTGCTTTCTGGCACACAATGGACCTTGTTTTGCAAGCAAAAACATCAGTCCCTACTCTGTAGTTAGAAATATATGTATAAACATAAATTATAATTTTTTTTAATTAAAATACAACACAACACAAATCTGTTGTAAAAGGTGTGTCTTTACATGTTGACATATCAACATCCAGTCAGATGTTAAATCAGTAACAGCTCTGATGGATTTAACTAATAATGCCAAAAGGCGAAAACCTCTTGTCCTATTTATTAAAAGAACTGATTGTTGTCTCATGAGAGTCATTCGTTTTTGAATCTGTCAAAATCGGTCACGTTGCATGCTAATGCAGGAAACACTATAGCACGCTGTACATAATCTGTACATAAAATTAAATTAAGTGTGATGTGGGAAAATATTATTAACTAGTATTTAGTAATACACAACTATGGCTTGCTAAATGAACTCTATTTGTATTTAATTATTTATTTATTTTTTGGTAGGAATTAAAAAATGCAAATGGGAAAAATAAACTTGAATTCTACAAACCTGATTAGAAGAATAAACACTAAAGTCCTCAACAGACAGTGACGTTGGTCTATCAGGAACAAACTAATAGGATTCCATTGCAAGAGGCGAGCAAAACAAAAGATAAAAGAAAAAAAAGGAATGGAAGAAGAATGATGGATGATGAAATACGAAGAAAGAAAAGCCCAGACATGAGAAGGAGGTGACTGGTGCAGACAGTAACGGTGATTGATGAAGAGGAGTTTACATGTGTTGTACCTTTTTAGGAGAGAAGACACCCAGGGTTCCCCCATCCTCCCGTATGGCCACTCCCATCTCTGCCAGCAGCGCCTCTCTGAGGGGAAGGAAGGAAAACATCAGGCCCATACTGAATGACATTACATTCAACACCTTAGCAGTTAGCACTAAAGACATCTGGAAAATATTTCTTGAATATTTGAATGTGCATGTTAGTGTTGAGGTCAGTGTGTTATGTGCGATTTGACAGCTGCTTAAGTTTGGTGCAGACTGGGACCAGCTGAGCACACAGGCACGTAGAAGACACTCCTCATGGGCATGATGGTATGGGCACAGAGACAATAGGAAGGGAGCCAGATGGCACCTAAACCCTCACTGACCTCTCCATACGGATGGCCTCAGTCTTCCTCAGCTTCTCCTCCCAGGTCTCATTCAGCTCGGCTATGATCTTCTCTGACTCCTACGGGACGGCAGACAAAGAGGGATATTTCAAAGGAAATATATGCTGTGAGGTATAAAACAAGACCTGAAATGTCTAAATATTGCTGGCACAAATATAGACAGACTATATACACAATCTACACTAGCATTCAAAAGTCTGGAACATATAAGATTTTTCACCAATATTCATTTATTTGATCAAAAATACAGTAAAAATTTGTGCTGTCAAAACGATTAATCATGATTAATCGCATCCAAAATAAAAGTTTTTGTTTACATAATATATGTGTGTGTACTGTGTATATTTATTATGTATATATAAGAGCACACACATACAGCATATATATTGAAAATATTTACATGTATATATTTATATTCATATAATTTATATTTATATACAACCTTTTTCTTATATATATATATATATACACATATACACACACATGCATGTGTTTGTATTTATATATACACATAATAAATATAAACAGTACACACACATATATTATGTGAACAAAAACTTTTATTTTGGACGCGATTAATCGTTTGACAGCACTAGTAAAAATACAATATTGTGAAATGTTATTACAATTTTAAAAAATTGATTTTGGTGTTAATGTATTTTAAAACAATTTATACATCTGATGGATGAATTTTCAGTCTGTCATATGATCCTTTAGAAATCATTCTAATATGCTGATATAGTGCTCAAGAAACATTTCCAGATTGCCATTTCCACACACTTGCCATTGTGACCTGAATGAACTGTGCATAATACTAAGAGGCTTATTCTGCTCTCAGTGTCGGAGCACATTTTGCTATATGTTAAGTCAGACATTGCAAGTTGTGGGAAGGTCATAAATTTCAGGGTCCTATACCTAAAAGGGCAAAACCAGACCATAAGTCTGCGTGCAATGGGACAAATGCCTGACATGGGGTCAAGAGCAGTAAACACCGTTAAATATGGGAAGCCCAACGCTCCTTTTCCTTGTCCAGGAGGAAGACCAGAACCATCTGGCCTAAGAGACAGGAAGCTCCCTCTAGATCCTTCCTAAAGGGTTAACACCCCTGCCATCTGTTCATGTAGAAAGTAACCTGTGAGCTGATCCTTCTGACAAACCCAGATAACTACAGAGGACTAGGAAGACTGGATTATCATTATATTAGATCCGTGTATAGTGTTGGGAAGGTTACTTTGGAAATGTAATAGGTTACAGATTACAAGTTACCCTATTTAAAATGTAATAAGTAGTGTAACTATTTGAATTACTTTATTAAAGTAATGTTACTGATTACATTTGATAACTTTTCTACATTTCAAAAAAAAAATGTTTTCAAATGTTAATCATTTTGAAATCACGTTTTTGAAATCAAATCTTTGCATAGGAAACAGGAAACACTGGCATCTAACAATGCTTTGGAAAAAAATGTTAATCTTAAAAAATAAAGCATTTACATAAACCCAAATAGGAAATTAAATGGTTATCAAATAAGCATGTGCCATATTCTGTGTCCTAAACTCCTGAAACAATGGTTTCTCATATTTTAGAGCAGTCAATGCAATTGGGAAAGAAATCAATCAAATCTGTAAGTGTGAGAAAATATTCAGATGTAACCCCCTTTGTAATCTAACATTTTCATAAGTAACTGTAATTTAATTACATATTTTCTCAGTAACACTTATTATGTAATTACTCCCAAACACTGTGTATACATATACACTACTGGTCAAAATTTTGGAATAATTTTATATAGAAAATCTGGGAAATATTATGACAATTTAAAATAACTGATTTTTGTTCTAATACATTTTAAAAATGTAATTTATTCCTGTGATGGCAAAGCTAATTTTCAGCAGCCATTACTTTAGTTTTCAGCGTCACACTATCCTTCGGAAATCACTATAATATTTCACAATCTTATTGTATTTATTTCTTTCAAAAACATTTTAAAAATCCTAATTATTCCAAACTATTGACCAGTAAGAAAAGGATTGTATGCAGGGAATCACAGGCGACATGTAGTGAGTGGTTTGTGTGTGAACTGACTTCCATCTGATTATGTTATTGACTGAGATCAAGGATGCTCTCACGTTTTATTATACATCCATATTTTTGGCTGATACAAAAGACCAGGTCTATTTCTGTCTGATTTTCTGCCGAACTGCATCGGAGGTTGACGTCACTGGTGCGAGCCACTTGCTGCCCGTAACCATGGAAACTAATGCCTGGAAGCTGTAGCCACATCTACTTATTCTCTCTCTTTTCCTCCTTTACTATCTCACTCATTTACAGAGAGTCTGTAATGGTGGGTAGGAAAGTAGGACTTCTTTTTTATACATATGTATGAGAACATGCAAATCATTACGAGTAGAACATTTTGAATGCAAAAGGTCAGCAGGTGCCTGAAGCATTATCCATTATCTTCTTACACATTGTTAGCTAATTAGTTTTGATTAATTCAAGATGAAACCTCGGCGACGCCCGGAAATGGTTATTCACTTAAGCCCTTGACTCTTCTTTTGTTTGGAAAATGCTTGTCTGTGTACCTTCAGCCTCTCGATGGCCTCTTCTCCGCCCGGCGTGGACATGATGCGCTCCTGGATGCTTGAGACGGACTGAAGCCCTGCCTGGCTGCACAGAGAGCCTGAGGACGGAGAGGCTGTCAGGCAGCCCATAGGTGCTGTGGAGAAATGGCCAGGCCGTTGGTTCTCTGAGGCAAGCAAGTATCTGTGCTTATTGTTGTGTATATCTTTCAGGTCTGAGCCACACAGGAGAGACAGGCGACGCAAGGAGGAAGAAGCGAAAGTGGTGGAGACAGAAATGTGAGAGAGTACAGGAGACAGAAAGAAAGGATGGAAGAAAAAGGACAAAGAGGAGGAAAGACCAATGTAAGACACACAGTTCACATCAAAGGATTACAACAAACATGCCAGTCAGAGAGTCAGATACAGTTCTCACCTCAGGTTTCTATCCCCATTACTTTAAAAATCCTATTCTGTCATATTTAAAACAAGCTATTAAGACTTGTTTCAGGGAATGCATCCTGAATTTAACAGCATTTTTGTCTTGTTCCATTGGCAATTGGCAATTCTTTAGTTGTAAACCTCACTAAATATAGCTTAAATGAACAAATGAAAAAAATAATGGAACAAGACAAATACACTCGGAATAAATACAATTTAGCTTCTTAGGAATTTTTTTGTTGTTTTAAGAATATTAATTTCTACTACAGTATATAGTATTTTAAAACGTTGTCATTTTTAAAACACTGTATATAATATTTTAATATGTAGATAACGTTCTACACAATTTTGCATCTTATGTAAATTTGCCTTGTTTTAAGCATAATTTAACAACAGCATATATTATTTTTGAAACTGTCATATTTAAAACACTGAATTAAACATTTTAATATCTGGATGGTAATATTTTATACAATTTTGCTTCTTAGGTCAATTTAACTTGTTATAAGAATATTACATTTTAAGAATATCAAATATTAACAATCATTTTTTATATGATTTTTGAAAACATTTAATAATGTTTTTACTTGAAAATCTATCACTAACTCTCTATTTCTATTTTATCTACTTGTTTTCTTTTTATTTATTAAAAAACAAACAAACAAAAAGAAAACATTATCCTCCAACACTAGCGCTCTCCATTCTTTTTCAATTCTTTCTATTCTACTTGTTTTCTTTTTAATTATTATTAAAATAATAATAACTTCACCCTCTAAAACTATCTATTCTATCTATTTTCTATCTACTTTTATTCTTTTTATTTATTATTATTATTATTATTATTAAAAAAACTTGCTATGTATACTGCGTTAGACTAAACGGGACTTGTCACAACACTTCTATTACCCTCATTTGTAAGTCACTTTGGATAAGAGTGTCTGCTAAATTATTAAATGTAAATAGTTTACTTGAAAGGCACTAATTAAGAATAGGATTTTTGAAGTATGCACTTATTTTAAGCATTATGACAATAAATGGCATCAGTTTTTTAATAGTAGCATGCATTATATTTAATCAATTATGTAATATTCAACAACATGTGACCTGCAAACAGTGCAGTCGATTATACAAGCTCTTTTAAATGTGATAAATCAGTTTGACTTGATTCTGACCTGGGTGAAAACTGACATCACTTCTCAGATGTGAGAGAAGAGACGGGGGTGGAGGGATTGCATAAAGGTCACAAACCAGGAGAGGGAGGCTTGGGGGGGCTGGAAGAGCAGTATGATAACATGCTGCAGATATAAGCTATAAAACGTCTTTTCCACGCGGCACATCGCTCTTAAAGTCATGATGCTGTCAATGTTTGGCTGCCACAAAGCTCTTCAAAACTGTGAAGGATGACTAGGAGGGGACTGTGCTTACGAAAACTCTCCCAGGGAGCTTTGTTGCAGTTCAGTCGAGCGTTCTACTGCATATTCACTCTATTGGATTTTATCTGAAAAGACTCTCCTGAAGCAACTAGGCCAACATTGCTGCGTAACAGCACTGCATTACATTATTGTTCATGCGTTCAGATGATGCGATTGAGGCCGCTAGCACACAGACCATGGCAAGCATTTCGGTCAAGTGAAAATGTTTGCTTTCCCAGCGCCATATGGTTGTAGCAGTAGAAAGCACAGTGTGCGTTCATCTCTCAGTGCATATCAAGAACTCCCAGACAGATAGAAAAGCAAATAGCCGCCTGAGCTCTGATTCGGTTCTGCAGCTTTTGAAAAGGTACACCGAGCTTGCATAAGAGGATACGAAGAACAGGGAAGGAAGAGGATTCAGACGCACTTGGACTAAAGCAGCTATGTATTCTTACACTACCACTGCAATTGCTAATCTGCATTTGTAAGATTATGAAAACATGCACCTTTTCTCCGATAGATCATTGTTTTAACATCGTTAATATCGTGACCTGCAATGAACAGTTAAATGACACAATAAAACCTCACTAGGCAGAAAATAAAGAGGAAGTTTACAATAAAGGACAATAACAATTAAACAGCAAAATACAAGATTAAAGGAGATTTGATATTAAAGGGATAGTTCACCTAAAAATGAACATCTTGTTATCATTTATTCACCCACGTCATTCCAAACCATAAAACTTTTAGCTTTGACGTTAAGCAGAATGTCATACAATAGATTATTTGAGTCAAACAACAAAATTTAAGTTATTATTCACTAATATTCTTTATTGTGAATAACTGGTCTGTTAAAGTAAACTATTTTTTCTTATTCTATTTGTTTTAAGAATAAACCATAATACATTTAGTTTAAAACAAGTGGAAAACCAAATGGAACAAGACAAAATCGATTTAAATTGAACATTCATCATTCATTATTGTTTGTTATTTTTTCAGATTATGGAGATAAAAGGGGTTCCAATGCCATTTCATGTTGATTTTTAATTCAAGATACATTCGCTAAAAAGACATGTTAATATTAAACTATTAAACTACCATCAATTTTTACAATGCATACTGTATGCATGTGTATATCAGTATTATATAAAAAATATTTATATAAAATATTACATTCAGCAGAATGTCATACAAAATTTTTTTTGAGGAAGTCCAAAACTGATTTTCTTCCTTTAATTGCAAATTATCCATTTGGTTTGTTCATTACACAAAGTATAAATGACCTTTCCTTGTATGGAACTGAAGCTAGAACATTCTTGAGCTTCACAAAAGAATACAATAAAGATTTAATGACAACAAAATGTTCATTTTGGGGTGAACGATCCCTTTAAGTGCTTCCAGATGCAGTCTATCTGATCTATCGTGCTGTAGCATGGGGTTGGGCTTATTTGGAGAAAAGCCTGCCATTAAGACTGCACCATGCCAGACAGTCAATCAAATTAGGGTAAAAGCAAGCATAAAGCCTGCCAGTGGCAATCTAACCCATCCAGTCCATTGCATATTTATCTGTTGTATGTCTGGGATTCCTTGCAGTAAAAAAAAACAAAAAAAAAACTGAGGCATGCAAAGCCGACACGTTTGTATTCCAGAAGCAGTGAATAAGCTACTGGTAACAAAAGGGAAGAGCGAGAGGATGCGGCCCCGTCAAGCATATACACACATTTGCTTCCACTTCCAAGGTAATCATCCCCCATTGGCTCGACTGAAGGGAAGCAGGAAGAACAGGAGAAGGTCAGAGTTGAGAGGACTAGTAGAGGAATGACTGACAGAGGCAGTTAGAGTTGACTAGACAAAATATTGTGAAGACAAACATGAGATGGAAACACTCCTGGACTTGGATTTTGGAAAACAGTATTGTGATTTCTATCCATCATATCCCTAATCTCCATCACATGTTGATGAAACGGTTAAATGAAGACGTAGAAGGAACAACATGAAGACAATGCAGACTGGGCTAGACTGCAGCATTAGATCAGAGCTGAAGAATTTGCCACTTGTGAGCACAGTAAGTGACCTCCTATTTGCCTGGCAATTGGGCATGTATAGAAGTAGCCATTGGGGGGCGCTGTGCCTCGACTTACTGTCCAGAATGTCCCCAAGGCCCTGGGCATGGAGCAGCTCCTTTAGACGCGTCACCTCGTCCTTCAGCTCCCGCACAAGTTTGGCGTTGGGGTCCTCGTTGATGACTGCATTGCACTTGATCTGCTTGGCTCTGTCTGCATATCTGTGAATGAGCAAACAATGACAATGATCCAAACAGCCATTGAGATCACAAGAGTCCCCTTATCAAAATCAAGACCATCTAAGAATGGAAGACACACTGTTTAATGGGAAGTGGGAGTAGGACGTGAATTCTTACCGGAGTGTGCTGAGAGTTTCATCATAGTTAATGTCAGCAGGACTCAGGGCGGCCACCATAGCTGTCCTCGAGTTCCCTCCTGGTGGACAGGCACAATTACGCAAACAATTAGAAACACCTAGTAATGCAGTTTCTTTCGACTGGAGTATTGATCCAAGACAGGCCAATGAGTTTAAAGGATGCACCTTCCACAGAACATTAAAGAAAGCACAAGTGTAATTTTCTTTTGTTTTAAATGTTTAAAATTCATTTTAAATGCTAAACCTCTGCAATATTTTCATTTAATAGCTATTGGTTGGCATTGTATGAGAACGTTTTAATTAAATCTGTTGAATATAGATAATATTTAGAGGAATAGTTCACCCCCCAAAAAAATACAGTGAATAAGGATTGGGTCTGTCAAGCTAAAAAGAAAAGAAAAGAAACAAAAAAGAAAAGACAAGAAAAGTTAAACAAAAGAAAAGAAAATCAAATAAAATATTTTTTTGTTTTAAATAATGAAGTGGGTGACCTACTCCTTTAAGAGTCCTATCATATTACATAGAGAACTGTTGAATTATTTTGAAATACAGTCAGTTCTATTTTTAAATGCTGGTTTATAATACCCATGCAACATAGTTGATACAATCATTTATAATCATTATGGATCATCGTCCATACCTAAATTCTCTCTTAGCAGCCATGTCAACACTGAGTCTCGGTAAGGAATGAAGTCCGTCTTCTTTTTCTTCTTGCTCTATTTCAAAACAGCCAGTAAAACATGTTGAAATATAGCAGGTAAATATAGCTACTGCTGTAATAATGAAGGGGGTTCAGGAAATTACTTGATGTATGAGACATCAAGACTAGAATAAGACACTTTTAAGACAAAAGGTTACATGGATAAAGGTTGATATGTTTAGATAGAGACGGTTCAGTGGTTAGTGACCGTACACCGGGAAAGATTACCTTGCTGGTACAGTTATCCTGGGAAGGGAAGCATTGCCAGGAGAGAGACAGACAGCACATAGAGCTATAGTACTGAAGACATGCAAGCAAACAGGCAGAGAGCGAGACAGGTATTGAACACTACTCACCACCTCAGCCAGCGCTGAAATAACCTTTCCTAGTGTAGTTAAAGATTTATTGATGTTTGCTCCCTCCTAAGAAGCACAAACAGGTGAATAGTCAGTTTTATGATTACATCTAAATGAATACAATTCAGCTTAAAATATGTTTGCAATTAAAACAAACAAACCCTTAAAGGAATAAAAATAGCTGTGATGCATATTTTTGTTTTGAGTGTTTTATGTTCTGTCATGCATGTCACATTCCCAGAATATTTGCGGCATGTGGAGGAGACTGCAGTCACTTTTACATATGGCAGGTGTTGGTGGAGTTCGAGAGAGGCTGTAAAATTAGTCTGTACCTTCAGTCTGGTTCCTTTGGCCCCTGTTGAGTCAGCACGCTCACTTCCTGCCAGATCCACCAGGCTGATTTTGCTGACCTGAAACCAGACAGCAGAGATACTTTTAGACTGATCAACACACACTAAAAACCTCTTCAGTATGGCATACTATGTATGTGGGAGTCTTTTGTTTCCCATAAGTCTATTAGCAATAGCATCATATACTGTAGGTATTTCTGCCTTGTCCAAATGAATCGTTCTGATGATTCAATCAAACTGATTCAGATAGCACTTGTTTAACTAAATAATTCAATCATCCAATCATTTTAGGGTACTTGTAAAATCATTGGTGCATGCATGCACAACTAATTTTGCTAAAGGATGCTTGGGTTATCTTTTCATTTTGCCGTGCTTGAGTTTTGGCCAGCGATTCCGCTGCCAAACTAGATGACTAATATTAGAGCAAGGGCTGAGGCGAGACCTGTGTAGTGAATCTAATGTAGTAGCTCTGTACAATAGCCATTGTGCCTGTGGACCTCATAGAGCGGTCTTTGTGTCCGCAGCAATTACACAATGAGCCCCACAAACACAGGATGAGAGGGACGGGTCCCTTTTTCTCTGTTTTCCTTTCTACTTGGTACAGGATTTGCTGACTTTGGGTTGCAGGACAAATCTGAGCTCGTGAATTGTCATAATGGCTGTGGATGGGTGTAAAATATCCAACCTTCTCTGTGGACAGGTCTGTCTCGCTGTCATACTTCCTCTGGGTGAAAACGATAGTGAAGACTGCATGAGAGCGGCTGCTTGTCTCATTCATGTTGGTGGCGGCAACAGTTCTGCAGATACAGAGAGCGAAATGAGCATCATAGGTGTCACATACATATAATTATTTGAGTAAAACAAATGTATAATTATATACAATGTATATTAATGGATATTACATAATGTAATAGTATTTTCTTACATTTCTTGACTTTATTTTTAACATCTGCGTAAAGCTGCATACTATAAAACTAGGGTTTTTAATGGGGGTCAGTGCTGAACTCAAAGTAATTTTGTGAAGAATAAATAAACAAAATATAAAATAAATACAAATATGCATAACAAAAATACAAGAATAAAGATTGAACCATGATGTCAAAGTAAATTTGTGAGGAAAAAAATTTAATTATGCATTAAACAAAAATATGTTTAAAAAGAAAATAATAAATAAATAAAATAAATGAAACATAAATAATAATAATAAATTAATAAATGAAAATACGCATTAAAAAACAATATCATTATAGTTCAAAACTGGAATTCAGTAAAATCTTCCATTGTCCGTCTCACATTAAAAGTACAATTAAAATATCAAGAACGATTATTTGAATAGATTTGCAACATAAGAATCATAACACAGAAATGTATAGAAATACATTAATATGGTATTATATGCTATTTCAGGCCTGTCCTTTTCTCTTTATCCACCAATAATCTCTTTATTGGCCTGAAAAAGGTTGAAAGGCTGCTTTGGAAGTTCATAGACCGCTCTAGATGCTTATCACCAGAGTGTGAGAGAGTAATCCTGGAAAATGCTAGTAAGTGCAGGAATAAGACATCAACGCAGCTCATGTGCTGGATATGGCACTGTGTGGGATGCTCTTGAGAGAAGCAGGCTTTACACGTCACATTCTCCACAAATAAACCCTGGGAATCAGCACGGGAGGATTAGAAGCGTGTTACTCCTTCCAAGAGTCACATTTACACATGCCTATCATTCAGAGTATCACTGGATGAAACATAACACTTTTCCATTTCCCCTTTGACAAAAAATCTAACCACTATCCTTCAACAGCAGCACCCAAAGTGGGAAAAAAAACCTTATAAGTACAACAAGTTTTCTTCTCTCTCACCTGGCTTTGTTACCAGCATCCATGAGGTCAGCTATGTCTGTGTAAGAGGTGACGGCCAGTTTTGAGAGGTCTTCAACATACGGCCCAAGTAGAGGATGTTCCCTGACACGCAGGTTCCCTTTATTCTTAGGGTTTAGCAGGTCCCTCACCCGCTCACAGTATATCTCCATATAAGCCACCTACAATGAGCACATAAAAATGAGATATAACTAGATCTCAATTATTGAACACTTGAGTAGGCTCTGAACAAGCCCATCACCCCCCATTGCTGAGTTAGTAAGCAGTGAGGTAACACAACAAAAACAGCATTTCAACAGATGGAGAGTGTGTGAAGTGAGTCACAGGAATGTACCGAGGAGTCATGATGTATTTGTTGCTCACCTCCACCGAGTACGAGATCTCCTCATTGTTATTGTCATTGATTTTCTCAAAGAGGTCTTCACAGAGCTGGGAGGGGGACAAAAAGAGCACATTAGGGAGGAGAGAGAGAGCGATCGATACAGAGCACAAATAACTCTACCCCTGCCGGACGTGCTAGACGGAGCGCTAATGTCTTAATGTCTTCTGGCAATGTCTGCTTTGAGATCAGAAACATCTCAGTCGCTGCTGAGCTCTTAAGCATGTCTTTTACTTTGGATCCATTAAGGTGATACATATGCTGCGATATTACATACATACCTGTGGAATAATGCCTTCCTGTCCTTCCTCTTGCTTTCCCATCATGGTGTAGGACTTGCCAGCTCCGGTCTGGCCGTAGGCAAAAATACAGACATTATATCCCTCAAAAGCATGCTGCAACATCTCCTTCCCGATGTCATTGAACACAAGACTTTGTGACGCAAAGCTGGGGTCGTCCGGCTAGCAGAGAAATTAAGAAAAGAGAACAAAACACGTTAATACAGGCTTTATTTTAGGGGATGATTAATTACAGCTGTAAATCTGACCACACGCACATTTTTTGTCCACTGAGCCAGCTCAGCGGAAAAAGTAGAAAGAGCACAAAAAGGACAGAAGGAGAAAGAGAGAGAAAATGAGACTTACTGAGGTGTGAGACCAGTACGAGTAGTCGAAGCTGAAGGATTTTGGTGGTTCCTTTGGGTTCTTGGGGTTCAAAATAGCTGCAAAAGACAGGGAAAATCAGTGCGATATTTTTTTTTGTTCACAAAAACAGCATGTCGGTTTTTAGAAATTATATCCATAAGGGTTACATACTATGGCTTTAGAGGACACACCTAGTGACTGACCAAGTGCACGGTGGCAAGATGGCTGACATACTTTTCATTAATTAGACTGTTATGGTGATAAATTTGTAATTAAATAATTTCTTTTTATTATAAATGAAACAATTTTCACTACAGTTCTGTTTTTAATGATTGAAAATAATGAAAATCTAATTATTGAAAATAATGAAAATCTAATTATTGAAAATAATGAAATAACAGTATAATTAAATAATTAAAACAATGTGTACTCAAAATTCAAAGTAAAGAAAAGAACTGAGTGTAAGCATTCAAATCTGCTATGAAACAAACACACAACAGTTAACAAACCAATTGTAACAAACGGCACAATAATAGAGCATTAAACAGCACCCTTAATGACAAAAACAAGTTAAACAAATGTGAAATAAAATAAAATACAAATATCTGATGAAAAACTTTAGATTTCTTTAGAACTTTAGAAATGTTGCCATGTCAACTAAAATGAATAAGTTTAAGTTGACATACTAAAATTACTAAACATAAAAGAGAAAAAAATTTAAGCAAAATAGAAATATAAAAAAAACTAAACTTAATAAAAACTAAAATGAAACCTGAAATTATAACCATAAAAGTCCATTTAAAATATTAATACATTTTAAAATAGTAAATAATGCTAAAAAAAACAATGCCTGGATCTCATTAATAGCTGAGAAACTGAATCCATCACTGTTAGACTGTGATAGTGTTTTATGCAAAGTGAACTGCTCACCTGCACACAATCATTATCAATGGCTCTAAACTATTACCAAATATCAACAACACCATATATGATCAAACGACAGAGATTGAGTCAGCCTCCAAAAAGCCACAAATCACCACTGTAGCTAAACCAACATTTAAAATGTCCAACATCTCCATTCATCTGATAGAATGAAATGTCTGTGCAACGAGAAATTAAAGAGTCACATGTGCATAACTGCTCCACCACCACTGTAAAACACTTGTTTGGGGGCTATTTTTGAAAGAGCGGACACATTCACCTCAGCAGGGCCTGTGTAAAAAATAAAAAATAAATGATGACTCAAAAATGTCTTTGTGTGGGATCAGCAGGTCCACCTGTTGCATGTGACTACCCATAATTCATCCCTTTTTTTCTGTTCACACAAGATTCAAATCAAATTTAATCCTGTTTTCACTGACAGATTACACACATGCTGTCCTCCCAGCAGGTTGCTACATATCCCAGCAGTCTTAATAAACAGGAATCTAAAGGCTTGTCTGGTATTTGGCGTGTCCCAAACATTCAGCCCGACCCTCGTCTCAACACCACCACACCATCAGAATGCTAAGCCTGGGAGTGAGCGGCCCAAAAGGCTGTGGAACCGCAGGAATCTACTGTAGGATATTTATAGGTATCAGAAAGCCAGCTGCTGCTGCAGTTCCCTCAACTGACTCGGAGTTGGCCGGCAGAGCCCCCCCGAGCGTGTTCAGGCCTTGATTCGATCCAGACGAACACATTCCACCGGCAGAGCGCAGGGTGGCGAGGTCAGATGGCTGGGTGGGCGGAAAAAAAAGAGAAAGAAACTGACGAATGGGATGCACACGCTGCTGTTTTAGCAATAATCCAAACAACAACATAACAACCTTTCCTGTTCCCGCTGCAACAAAAATGACCCATCAGCCCAGAAATAGAGAAATGTGGTGTTTTTCCCTCTTTAATGCATGGGTGGATGGATGAAAGAAGGGAAAGAGGTGTGGATTATACATAAAAAGTCAATGGTCTAATTAAGCATGAGGCTCTCTGCAGTCGAGGACGTTTGAGCCCCCTGCAATGAGTAAACCAACCCCCCCCCCGCACAGCACCTCTGGGACACTGGCTAATCTCACAGAATTCATCTATTATTCAGTGGAAATGAGAGGGGAGGGCTGGGTACTGAGCCACTTCTTTCAGAGAGATACAAGTCGAATATGAGACTAGAAAGTATATAAGGAATATTCAATATACAGGACTATTTGAAATAATTTCGCTGGTGAGTAACTTAACATCACGATTTCATGTGTCCAAAATCACATACTGTCAGAGCAGGTAGTACATTTGATGAAGAACTTGCTGCAAGACTTAGAAAAGTAAGTTCTATACGGCAGCATGTGTGTTTGTAGTATGAATGCAATTAATTTGCATTGTCATTTGACTTGACTGCGTCACTTCTCCGCCACTCACGACTCTCTCTCTTGTGGCCTCATGGGATAGTTAGGCTAAGTGTTCATCAGATGAACACTATGAATGTCATATTTTTCAGCTACTATTCACCTACTATAACTGGCTATTAGGAATGCACGATATTTTTGGAATGTGATCGGAATCGGTCGATAAAGGCTTAAAATGTAAACATCAGCATATACTTAGGGGGCGCTGTTGGCCTACTTGTAATAAAATGACAAGTAAAATACACAAATAACATTAAGATAATTGTGTTTCTTAATAAATAAAGCAGTAATTGATATCATAAAATCACAAGTCAGTTTTGATTTAAAAGGTCAGAAGCTATAGCTTCCATGAATAAAAATCACAAACATGACACTTGTAAATTAAATAATATAATATATACAGATTTATTCAGTAATATGTAATATATTTTTTCAAATGGATTATGAAAACTGAAATACAGGGACCTCTAAAAGATTTTTAGAATTTTTACAGCTTTTTTGATTCAGACCATCTATCAATGTTAATCAACATTTAAGGTTTCAACTGCATCTATCTAACAAAAAAAAAAAAAAAAAACATTTCAAAGCTTTAAATGTACTCTCATTAAAAAAAAAGAACTTTAATAATGTTTATTAGTTATTAGTTATTAATTTTTGCTCAAAACTAACAAAAAAATAATTTGTTTATAATTTCTGCACAGGAGAGACTTTGTGTTGTTTCAAAACAAAATATAAATATCAGCACTGGTTAACAGCCAAAATGATTTGAAAAATATCGGCAAAAATCTAATATTGTGCATCACTACTGGGTATTCAAACTAAAGACTCTTTTCACATACCATTTTTCGCAGAGGCATATTAGTAGCCATATTTAGGCATATTAGTAGACATATTAGAACAATGGGCTCATCTCTTGAGTATAACAGATATAAGACTCTGATTTAAACATAAATAGCAAAAATAATAATAGAGTTTGTAAGTTCAATTATTTATATGGATCAGTTTAAACTATTTATGAAAATAGATTCAAATTTCTGATTCAGGGTTTCATTTGATTAAAAAATATTCTTCCCTGTGTTCAATTACGGAACAACAGTGTGAAAGTGATCATTTTGAACTTGACTTCAGACAAATATTCTTGAATTAAACTGAATTTACCCAAGTTACAAAGGTTTTTTTTTTTTTTGGTCAAAATCTAGTTTTAAAATAATAAAATGTAAAAAAAAAAATAAAAAGTCATGTTTTAGGAGGAAGCTAGCAGTTAACATCAAAGCTAGTATAAGCCATTTCGAAGGAAATACATAAATCGAGATATTAAATATTATCAAAAGGCTAAGGGGTAGGACAAATCTGCAGGACCATCCATAGACTGTATCTTAAAAGTTTTCTTGGAAAAGGCCTCTTTCTCAGAAGGCTGGTCAGTTGTGTGTCTGTTTGGAAAGACAACTGATACGTTCCCAGGTTGGTGAAAGCAGGTCCTTTCCTCAAGTCCTGCATCTTCACATGGTCAATGTGACAGAGGACAGGCCTGTGTCATTCAGGAGAAAGAGAGGCTAAATAAAGAGCGCTTACACCTCTGACCTAAGGCCAAATGGAAACTGGAGCAGTGGGTAAAACACACAGGGATTTACATTACTGCAGTCATTCTGCCCCTCTTTCCTGGAACAAAATGCACAGAGGGTCTATAAATGCCTCTCCCATCATGCACTTTGTTCACCAGTCATATCAGAACACTGATGAGATGGGAAGATCAACACGGGGGCCGAAAGACAGGTGGACAACCGGCAAGCCTGGCCTTGCTCACTCACATACGCACATGTGTGGGTCACTCACGTCTGTTTCTGTATCAGTGTGACGCAGACAGGTTTCATTCTGCTATTTTCAATTGAAAGGGTAAATGCGAAAGGATTTTGCATTCAAAGTGCAGTTATGTATTCATTAAAGTCCATAAAACCTCTAAGGAAAACACCCTTGCATTAAAAGAAAACAAAGAGTTCTAATGATCTTATGTTGCCGTTCTATCAATGTCTCCTACATCAGCACTGCTCACGCAAGCCATAGCAAAAGTTAAACCTGCTACCATGACGACCATCACACTGAACAGTGGCATACAGAAATAAGAACCATCATCTGCGTTATTCAATTAAATTTTGTACTGCTCCCTCAAAGACATGTGCCTTGTTTTCAGTCTTGAAATATAAAACCAAATTATGTGACAATTGTAATGCCATTAGACTGTTAAAAATTCACATATTCATGGTTTAAAATCCCTTAAATCTGGCTGAACATGTGGAAGACTCTAAATGAAAGCATTAGGATTTGTAAATTAGACATTAAGCCAGACGTTAGGCCTGAGAACATTCAATATACTGTACATCAACAGTGAAACCGAGCATAGAGGTAAGTGACGCTGTGCTAAAAAAAAAAAAAAGGATACAGTATACGGCACATGCATTTTGTTCATATCTGAAGATGAATCAGCTGGCTGAGGATAGTCTAGTCATGCCAACCTCCTCAAAACTGTGAATGACAGTTTGAAGCGAACATGAGGCTAATTGGTACAGAGGTGACTGAAATGAGTGAATAACCACTTAAAACAACCTCTCAATCCATCCAATTATGTTTGGACAAAACACTTCAGCAGACCACAACCCATCAGCCAATGGAGAGCCGCTCATTATACAAATGCACAACTAAATGTGCTACTC